AGCCTCTTCCTCTCTCTCTTAGCCTTGCCTCTCCAGCAGTGCAGGGGAAGCTACTCCAGAAGGCTTAAAATCCTAAGTGTCAATCACTCCTAATCACTTTTCAGTATTGATGTGAGAATGATTGGACTGATCACTAGGACAGGATTCCTTCACCTAGAGTCTGTATCTGTGTATTTGCCCAGCTCTGGTCCGGGCCTGCCAGAAGCCTAGTTCATCATGTAGGAAAGAACCGTTCAGGTTCAGGGGAGCAAGAGCAGAGCCTTGGAGTACTTCCATTCTCAGAGTTTCTCCTGAAGCTTTCCTGCAGTGCAAGTCTCATGCTTTGTGCTCTCAGTTAGAGTTTTCAAAGGGCTGAGAGACTACTGTGAGGGTTGTGACGACTGACGGAGGAGAATAGCAGCAGGTCTCCCAAGCCTCTTAAACGTCTGCTGTCCACTCGGAATACATTGGGCCCATGTGCCACTCAAATACTGGCTGGGACCATAAGGTGTTAACAACTGCCACTCCACACAAACACAAAACAACCTTCCAGCCCTGGAATGTTTCATCTGTAGACTTCCTGTCCCCTGATACATGTATGGAGACCTGGCAACTATTTGGAGAAAGAGAAGACTGTGCCCCATCGCTTCTTAGCAGGAAAACAGAAGTAAATATGGACTCAAGACATGATGAATCACTCCAATACTGCACTCGACCCTGGAGCCTGAGCTCAGCGGATAATCTGCCAAGTAGCATTCTTCAGGCCATCCACTCCTTGGTGGTCCAGAGACCAAGGCCAGGGAAGCAAAGGCTCACTTGTTGGAAAGAGATGGAGAGGCCCGAGTCCTGGGTTCTGTCTCTAGCTCTGCCTTCGGTTTCCAGGTGACCCTTGACATCATTTTCTCCTCAGAGCTTCATCCTCATCTGTAGGGTGGAGGCAGAAGATCCCTTAGGGTCTGTCCAGCACTCTCAATGGCCACCTACCTGATTGCTAACAGCATCCCTCACTCTCAAGGTTGAATTCTCTCCTTCCCTCAAGTTCACAATCCCAGAAGTCTCCATCAGACGAAGACAGCTGGAAAGGCCTGGAGAGGGATGTGGAGAGAACTGGGAAAGGCCAATCGAATCACACTCCTATATCTATGAATGGCGCATGTAAAGGATACTATATTTTATATATTTAATACCACAGGCTTTGCTACTCTCTAAGGGGCTTCTGCACTCTGTTTCTTTTGTCAGGGGTTTATGGTGGCAATAAATCTGTGGATAACCAATACCCTTGGCTTGAGAGCTTGCTGTGAAGTGTGTTCATTCATTTTTTGATCTTTTAAAAAGAAGTCAGCTTTCATTAAGCTCCCACCTCCTTCGTAGGCACAGCTGCTGGCATCTGAGCATCATCGAAGATGAGGCAGTGAGGAGAAGGGATTATTTATTGGTTATTGACATACTTCTTTCTCAGAAGTAAAGCTGTAACCCCCCTCATTTAACTGCTTACAATTGCACCCAGGACTTCAAAGAGCTCACACTGGCAGACAAGACAGGGCCATGTGTGGATAGACATTAACACAAGCAAAGGGAGCTAACTGTCACCAAAGCAATGAGATTTAAGTATCATGGAGACATGATTAAAAGACAGTTTGGCTGTATAACTACAGGGGCTCAGAATGGCTTAGTAGAGGCTGCAAAGACTCAAGGGGAGGAGAGAGAAGGACACAGTGGACAAGACTGGAAAAACAGGACAGCAGGCTTAAGCTGAAAACAAACCAGTGAACACTGACAGTCTTAAAAGCCCTGGCTCACACTGTTTTCTAATCAGAGATTCTCTGAATTCTCTGAATTCAACAGGGCCTGAGTACAGCTAGCATGCTAGGGCAAGTGTCAGGGAAGGCTTGGGCTATTGAAAGTTATCTTGGTGAGATATGTGGAGCCCCCACCATAGGCATCTCCTGAGACACCGCGCTGTGAGAGTGATGCTTCTTCGAGGGACATACACATGGTTTGCCTTCATTTGGGATATGTTTCATACTTTTGGGTGTGTGTCATGCTTTATATGCTGTTGAGAATGAAAACAATCCTAAATTAGCCTTTGAAAACTTTACACTGCTGCTTTCAAAGACTTCATGACTTGAATTTGGTGGTATTTCTGATTTGTATTTTCCACTAGCTACGCTGACTTTGTATTGTGACATATGGATTATTTGCAGCACGCTGTGATGTGGAATGGTAACTTTGCACCAGCTTAGTAACTGATAAGATATAGAAGTGAAAGAAAGGGAGGGGATAAGTATTTGGTCAGTTCCGACATCAAAAGAAGTCCAGAATTACCAAGGGAGGGAGGACGGCTTATGAAAGAAGAGGGCGAGGACTCAGCTTTGCTAGGTTTGAAGTATTCTCAAGCAACACAGCTGGAAATGTACAATACTACTCCAGAATCAGGGACTTCAGGAGAGAAAGCACTGAAAGAAAGATACTTAACAGCAACAGGTAAGATAAGGCCTGGAGAGAGAAGGTATTGTCCGGTGGAAAAATTCAGAAAACGGAAGGAAGACAAGGGCACAAAAGAGAACCCCAAGACAGAGGACTAAAGGCAAGAAAAAATGTGCTTCTGTAGCTAAGGAGAGACAGTGGAGAGTGGTAAAGTAGTCGCCGATCCAGTGTGGACTGAGGGTCTTGGAAAAGGTCACTGGGGTGGACATTCATTGAGGTTAGTTCCAAGCTGCCATTGTCCTTTCTGAGGGACTGTCAGGGTGCAAGCTGCCTGTGTTTGAACTGCCTACCATCTCATCTCCTTCTACCCACCCTCTCCCTCCTTGCATCCCCTCCTTCCCTCCAGCTTTTCCTGTGCCTGAGAAAGGCTTTCAACTCTCCCCTGAGAGGCAGGAAGCTGCAGTAGCATCACCCCCTCTCCGTGGTATCCAGTAAAAGTTATGCTCAGTTCCCATGCTTTGCTTTCTTCAAACACATAAATCTTTTATTCTTACCACAGTGCCTAACTTCAAACAAAAGTCTTTCTTCCTCTCCCTTGATTTCTGCTTTGTTCTTTAAAATTGAAGTCTATCTATCCTTTACTTAAAAGGATGGCCAGCTTCCATGGTTGGGGAGCCACGGGGCAAGGAAAGGTTGTAAGAATGAAGAAAACTTCGGACAAAATTTCAAAACCAGTGTTCTCTCATATATGTAAATATCACTGTTGAAGCTCCCGTTAGGGCCCAAAGCCACCTACCTGAGTGTAGTCTATTGACTATTCCAATGACTGCCTTATTTCCAAGTGTGATCTGTAAATAGCACCTTAATCTAAAACCAGGACCATAGAGCGTGTTCTGTCCTCTGGGGAGAGGCTTCATTGCAAGGGAAGAGAAAGAGGGACTAGAACAAAATGAAGTAAGGAAAGTTATTATTTATTTATTCATTTAGTGTGTGTTTGTGTGTGTGTGTGTGTGTGTGTGTGTGAGAGAGAGAGAGAGAGAG